TAAGATTTCTGTCATGTTTTTATTGTTGTAGAAAGTAACATTAATCTATAAAAATTGCTAACAGATAGAAAAAATGGAATAGTTTATTTAAAATTAAATAATAAATAACCTTTTACAAACTATTTGACAGAAACTTAATTTTATTGTGTTCTTTAAATATCAATTTTTGTATATTCATTTGACATTGAAGTAAAAGATTTTACAAATGGGATTCTGAATATACAAAAGTTATTTCATTATTTTCTTTAATTAATTTTCCAATTATGTTTGAAGCATTTAAAAAAATTAAAATACTGAAAAATAAGTAGTCTTTTTTCTCACTCAAATGAATACTTCAAATAATTTTAAATTTGTATGTGTATTACTTTCTATTCTTTTTTCTTTGTTTTCTGTTTCCCTTTTCTCCTTTTTTCTATTTTAGTTCACATTTAACCAAAATGATTGTCAAAATTATTTTGTCCAACTCAAAAAATACCATCAGCTTGTTTTATAATTACTGCATTTGCTACAATCTATTTTTACTTTACTTCTTATTCTTTTCTTACAAATTTGTATTTTACAAAAAGTTTTAATATTATTAATTAATAATTGGCAAATCTCAACCAAGAAAATATTGTTCAGTCATTGCTTGAAATGATTACAATGTATGCATCATTTACGTCAAGTTGTAACTGCTGTTGATTATAACAGTGACAAGTGTAAATCAATTTGTTTTGACTGATTATCAAAACAAACAGCCCCTTGCATAACCAGTTGATGGTAAAGAGAAAGAAAGAAAATGTTAACATTTTCTCCCTTCTTTTTTTTTCTTTTTTTTTTTTTTTTTGTTCTGTCTCTTCAGTTCCTCTATTTACAGCATTTTGCATGGTCAGTCAGTGTTCTGGGCAAGAAAGTTAATCACTTGTGAGGCTTGTGAAATTAAAGCCACTCACAAGCTAATGAAAGACTCTTTCAACCAACCAACCAAGTGACTTAAGTGGGCATTTTATGAATTACATTGATCTGCTACAAATACAACTATTGATATTTCAAATAAGAATGTCTAAGTGACAAATCATATCCATGTAACAAAATGAAATTTTTTTTTTTAAATTTATATTCATTATAATTTATATTTACTTAAAAAGCTCTTATATTTAAAATCAATATGTAAAAAATAAAATTCATTTAGGCATTAATAATTAAGTACAGAAAACATCAGTATAATCGATTTTGTACAAGCATAAATTTAATAATTGGATCATCAAAATATCTTAAATATTTATATAGTATAAAAAAAATTTTATAACTTCTAAAAGTTACAAATATTAGAAGAAACAAGGAATAACAAGATTAAACTAAAATAATTTAAGCAAAACGACTGAAAAATTGAAAATTACTTGTGTTTCAAAGAATCATTATTATACAAAGGGGTGCTGAAAAACCCAAGAAGAGATTTATAGAAATTTTGATGGTTTGGTCATTTGATCAGATTTTCTGAAGTAAATTAGGCAAAATAATTTCCAGCACTTCCTATATTCTATATTATATAGAAAAGATATTATTATTATTATTATTATTATTTCCTTTGATTTCTGGTGTCCCAACTAGAGACCTAAGGTCAGAAATCATATCATGACATTTTCACTGAAAATTTCTTGAAGAAAAACAAAATAAAACAAAGCAAAAAAACACCTAAGATCCCACATATTTTACACAGATAAAGTCCTTTGTAAGGTGTGAGCTGTACTTGTGAGAACAATTTTTATCTTTCTTTAAGGCATGGGCTACCAGGAATCCATTCAATGAATCCATTGGAATCTTTTCTAAACAATCCAAGGGCCCCAACAGCAGCTGAAGTTGTTGATATCCTCATGTGCTACATTTTGGAGATTTCAGCTTCAAGGCCCTTGTATTTTGATAGTTTTTTGAAGATCTTCAAAGATATATTGCAGTCTGCAGGGACTGCCATGTCAATAAGAAGGCATATTTAGTTTTTGCAGTCTCTGATCACAATATCTGGGTGATTAGCTTTGATTGTTCTGTTTGTGTGTATTGTAAAGTCCCATTAAATTGTTACAGGTCCTGTCTCCATAACCATGTCTGGATGGTGCTCATACCAATTTCTTGCAGTTTTATTTCCATAAAAGTTGCAGATTTTCCAATGTAGACATTGGCCCACTCTGTCATGACAGTTTTTATATTCAGTGGTTGCTAATGTTATGCAGTTTGATAAAGATGGCCAATTATTTCTGGATATATATCACAATCTGCATTTTGGGCTAAAATGATTTTTCAGTATATGTGCTTGGTAATTTTTAGTTAGCAAGCATTGGTCCTGTGCAACAAGAATAAAACCTTTGATATCTTTGAAGGCCAATTGTTGTAGTTATGTAAAACATTTCTATTTGAACTAATTCTCTGCCTCCTTCAGATTTGGGTACAAACAGACAATCAAAACCAGCCATGATGCATTTGGTGGCAAGTGAGAAGCTTTTTCATTTTAGCATCCATTTGCTTAATGTCAGCTATAGTTCAGGTAAAGATGTTGAAACTGCATTGCACCACAAAGACAGCCAATGTGTTTATAACTGATATTCTGTTTTTTGAATTCAGCTCGGTATTCAATACCAGACACATGCCTGTAATATTCTTTTCTTACTTTACTTTCTCCTTCATTTGGGTATGCCACATTCTATCTCCTTGCTAATTCCTAGGTATCTATATGATTCTTCTTCTTCAAGTTCCCTTCTTTATGACAAAATCTAGATCTATTATTATTAGTAGTAGTAGTAGTAGTAGTAGTATTATCATACAAAAATTATGCTTCTTATTTTATTATTCTAGCACATATCACTGGTGGATGTTGGTGTTTTGTAGCAGATGAATCTTTACCCAATAACCTATCATATCTTTTGTCTTCTTACAAATAGTAGCTGAATGGTGATTTGCAAAAATGACATGAAAGTGTTTATAAAGCAGAAATGTGTCTCTGAATTTTTTGATGCAGAAAAAATCACACCCATTGACATTCAGTGAACTTGCTGAATATTTATGGAAACCAAACAGTGAAAGTAAGCACAATTAGATTGTGGATAACCAGCAGTGGTGATAGAAATGTGCATGATACACTACATTTCAGATGGCCTTGCACAACCTCTTGCTCATCACAAAATATACAGTCTGTAGTGGTGGCTATTGGAAAAAATAGTGTTTTTGTATGTGAATACTTGCTATATCTAACAGTGTTAATATACTTATTATATTTATTGCAGTTTCTATGAAAGTAAATAGGAATCATTACTTTTGGGGTATCATTCATATTATTCACTCATTGAGTGTTCACATTAAGATTAACCGGTGGCTTACACTTAGTGATTAACAGCAAGTCTCCTCAATATTACAGTGTTCTTCTTTATAGTCAAGTTGTTTCCAGTAATGCTATCATCTGTAGAGTTCCAAACCTTCCTTTGATTCCCAGTTACTATTTTACTAGGATTTTCAAGACCATTTCCAGTACTCTGAAAATGACTACTGCCTTCATATTCCACAATTTGCTCAACGTCTTATTTTATAAACATTCTTTTTTATGATAGATTGGGTGCAAGCCTTTGTACCTCAGTAAATCTTAATTTATTAAATTCATGTAACTGTTTATGGACATGAATGTGTGTAACTGAATATTGAAATAAAGAATGAATTGATATTTTGAAAATGTATTTGTACAATTTAAGAAGGGTTTAAGTTGACAAGGTCTCAATCAGTAAGTTTCTATGTTTTTTTTTTGTTTTTGTGGAGTTGATTGAAACTTCTTTTGATGTTTGTGTATTTCTACAACATCTGTCCTTGTTAGATAAGAAATTTACTATATAGAAATAATCTATGACAATTTTGAGTGCAAATTTCAAATCAGGATACTTAATTAAATCTACAGTATTATTTATCTGTATAGCAGACAAAAGTTTATTTTTGTTGTCCAGTGTAATTAATATAAGACAAGGTTTCCTCATTGATGGGCATAACTCAAAATTCTGAAATCAATTCAGAATACACATTCAGAATCTGTAAAGTCCATTCCGTCAAACATACACATACCTTTATACCAGTAGCAAAATCTTTGTTGTAATAAATATTGGTATCTATATAAATTTGTACATCTTTTTGCAATGTTATCCATCATTTTGATATTGTCAGCTTTCTGGATAAATATAAATTTATTTTCTTTACATCTTTTGATAATAAAGTGATATTATCTGAGTCACTTCTTATAAAGTAAGCTGAAAATTCAAAAATAAAGTTGAACTTGATCTATGAATCCTTCAAGGAACATTTATCAGATAGAAATAAACAAAATTTCTGAGATTGTATAAATACAGATTTGACAAGTGTTTATATTCATAAATTCTTTAATTGTACTGGAGTTTTTGAAGAAACTAAATTGACTATTTGGATTTGGAAATTGGAATTTATATTTTTTGGCATCTGAATGTCAGCTGGTTACAGATTTCATTCTTTGGAATATTTGTGTCATCTCAAAAATTATGCCAGGGAGTTGTGAATTTATGTTTACTGATAATAACTAAGAGATAAGTTTACATTGGTAAAAAAAGGCTGAAATTTTCAAAATTTGTGAAATTTTAGCAGTTTTTTTGTCTCTCAAAGAAACTGATTTGTTAAACTGTAAATATAAAACAGAACAGAACTTTTATGCAAAAGAATTTGTGATTTGGCTTATTTGAAAACTTTACAAGGTTTGTAAAGCTTATTTGCATTCATAAATATATTCTATATGTAATCTATGTCAACACAAGTGAAAATGTGGTTTTCAGTGTTTGTACATAGATGTTTCTTTTTACAGTACTAACTGTAAACTAGTATAATTTTTATTTTATTTTATCATTTTTAGTGCTCGGCCTGGAAGACCACCAAAACGTAGTCCATCAATTCATGCAAGTCCAGAAACATTGGAAAAATTGAAGAAAACTCGACTGGATGGTGGAGAATATCAGTATGATCCCAGAATGTATGGTTAGTTTGTTTTTTAATTTTACTTTTCTGCATGCAACTCACAACTTTACTTTGTCACTTCAAGTCTATAATTCTGTTCTAAATAAATTTCTTTATATTCATATGATTTGTTAATTCAAACTTGATACTCTGCCTTTTTCACTCTTATTTAAAATGACCCAATAATAAGTGACATTTTATATTGTTGACTTCAAAATCTTTTCATAGCAAATTCAAAAACAAAAATAAATCTAATGAAAACTGAATTAAATTTAATAAAATGATACAAAAATTTTGTCTTATTTTGTGAATCTCAACTTTCCTTTCCTTCTGGAAAAAAAAAGAATCATTATAGAAAATTAATTCTGTCCCTAGAAAAGCTAATTGCATTACTGAATTCTTGAAATAAATAGAAAAGTTTCAGCTTATAATTACTGAATTTGAATTAAATTTTCAAATTATTTTCAGTAATTTATTGTTATATGTGTTTAGCTGTATCTTATAAATACATGTAAATATTATTAATGAAATATTAATTTTTTAGTTGTTCAACCAAACTTAGCTAATTCTACAAATGTGTTTTTATGATATTTCTACTGTTTTAATAAAATTGAAGCCTAGTTCTTTAATTTGTGATTTCTGGAATAATTCAATACTTTTTCACCTGAACTATTTATACAAGTCAGTGCATTGTTATAAGCGATGTTCAAATTAAAAATGAAAACGCAAGAATAGAATTTTTTTCTTTTTATAAAAATTACTATCATGCTAGGAAAATTACCTAAATGGCTCCAATTATCTAAAGAAGAGGATTTGTAATAAAAATTAATCATTTTTTCTTGAAAATTAACAAAAAGACATTTTTATGCAGACTAACAATGGATTTATCAATGAAGCTGTCTTGATTCACGTTGATCTGTCTCCTTGATCTTGGTGTGCACCTATTCTGAAGATTTCTTTATATGATTAAGAGATGTCCAATTAAATGCACTGTTATATCTATTTGCTGCAAATTACTTGAGAGAAATTCTTGTCAAATTGCTTCTGTAATTTTCTTATTTCTTCTTTTCAGAAGTGTGCACTGAAATTGATCACATTGATGAGATTATGTTTGTCAATATTAAATTTCTTGAGGTTCAATAAAGAAAAATTAAATTAAATTAAACATAGTTTGTTATCCAATTATATATTTTAATTTTTTTTAATTTGCATTCAAACTTTCAAATGAAATATTTTAAGGTTATCAAAATTGGGATTTTTTCAAAGATTTTAATTTGAAATCTTTGAAACTATTTAATCTTAAATCACTAATTCCTTATTTATTAATTTGACATTTTTAATAAAAAATATATTTTAAAAGTTTCTTTTATATTGTTCTTGGTAGTTATTTTTCATTTAACAGATTTTATAAATGAATAGCATTTTTCTGATTAAGTGATAAGAAGGGATATGTAACTTAAACTAAATCATAGTCACTAACATTAAACTCTATTCAAGAGACTATATGCATGTTTTTTTATAAAATATGAAGAAAAATTAAATAGGTTAATGATGATTAATGTCTGACTTTAAATAAAACAGCCATAGAATATGTGATCTATTTATCAAAAAATATTAAAAAAGAATATTAATTATTTTTGTGTCAGTAAATTTTCTCTCAAACTGAAATTGTCATTAGAAAATAATAGAATTTTCTGGTGGGAGAAAAAAGCACATTTTTAATCAAGATAGCAAAATTTTTACTTAAAACATCTTTCTATATTTTGTTATTAGTAATTATTTTTGATTATGAAAATGTAGGCCATTTTATTTTGTTATCATTGATCAAAATTGTTATTCTTTGTTAAATGTTAACTAACAATGTCTTTCAAGATCTGCTTTCCTTTTGCTTTTGTTCATTTTTCATGTTGATAATGTCATACGTTGATGGCTTAACCATCAACATATTCCCCTACTCCCCTTGCAACTAAGTTAAATCTAGTCATCAGACAAAGTTGTTTCGTTTGTATTCAATTTCATAGTTAATTGTACATTGTCACTCAGCCACATTGTCGCCAGCATTTCCTCATTTTCTAAGTTAAAGACATCAAACAAATTGAAACTACTTCTTGTCCCTTGTCAAGTTCTTGTTGGACTGAATGTTATTGTGTTATTCATTAATGAAAAGTAACCAAAGCTGAGCAAAGCCTTATTGATTCTTGGACAATCTTTTTCTAAACACACCTTCATCACTATTACTAACATTACGGCTACTATCTACAGCTACAATTGTCAACACAACAATTATTGCTGCCAGTAACAATTTTATTAGAATCTTCAAGAACATAAACTTCATTTTAGTCTCTCTTTCTCTTTCTGATGTCGTCTCAAGTGAAACCAAGTCTAGTATTTATTTTTTTTGCTACCCAACAAAATGACTCAAATCAATTTTCTATTATTTCCTTTATTTCTTACCCAGTTTCACCTGCTAAGTAAATATTTTCTGAATAAAAGGTAATAACTTTCAAATCCACTAGGTAGTCAGCAAGCATGTTTCTGTTAATGACTATTAATATAAAAGAAAATATTTTGATTACTTTTTGCTACTTATAATTACAGGCTGTTATAAATATGACTAACATTGTTAAATAATTATAATCAGATTTAGATTAATAGCAAAAAAGTATTTTTCTATTACTACTACTACCACCACCACCACCACTACTGCTACTAGTACTACTTCAATAGCCACTTCCACACCTGCAACATTTACATACTTGGTAGGTTAAAAATAAAAAAATTAATGACTTGATAACCGATACATCTACACAAGCTTCTTGACTTCTTTAATTTTATGCAGCTTGATGTAATGGTTTAAGGCTATTACAGCAAAATAAATTAAAAAAAAAACATTTATAAATGTCCTTAAATAAATTTATTGATGTAATTTGTTCTCTTTGACTGAAAAACTTTGATCCATATTTTGATTGGGAGCACTTGTTTGACAATTTGCTTACATAACAAAACATAAATTAGAAAAGAATTTTTGTTCATTGTTTTTGCTCTCTCTCTCTCTCTCTCTTTCTCTCTCTCTCTCTCTCTCTCTCTATCTATCTATCTATGGTACACACTACTGGGTGCGATGAATAAATTGTCGCAATTTTATATTTTTAATTTCATGTATGTGCATTGTTTGTTTTTGGCTTTGTCAACTGCACAGTATAGTAAGGTCAGTTGAGCATCATCTGTGAGAAAACAAGCACCATGACACAATTCACTCTGCCAGAAATTTGGAAATGGCATGCAATACTGCTTGGAATTCATGCCTGGACCTCCAATAAACTCATTTCAGAGTGTTTGGACAGTGCAAAGGATTTGAAAAGCATTGGATGAGTCTAATGATGATTATGATGGTGTTTGGAGTGATCATTAGTGATTGCAATGTTATGCCTGTGGGAAGATGAATTATCTTCCCACAAGGCCTCAGACTCAACAAGGAGGTTTACATCAAGTGCCTTGAGGAGCTAGTGCTGTCCTGGGTCAAGAGGATGACTGCTGGAAGAACCTATGTCTGGCAACAGGACTCTGCACCATGCCACACAAGCAGGAGAACCCAGTCATGGCTGTCAGACAATTTCAGCAAGCACCACCCCTTACATCTGACCACCAAATTCCCCAGACTGCAACCCCTTTGATTATTATGTGTGGGATGCAGTTGAGCAAGAGACCAACAAAACTCCTTGTAATACTAAAGATGAACTGAAGGCAAGGATTATGGCAGCATTTACCAACTTAAACAAGGAGACCGTCCAGAAGAGATGCAGGAGATTCCAAAGTTGTCTGGTTGAAGTCAATGGAGATTTTATTGAATAAATTTAGTCTTCAGTAGTTCAAGATATTTTTGTGTAATTTTGGTAAATACATCTGTTAAAATGTGATGTAAGTTTTATTTTTTTCATTTTTGCATAATTTAGATGACAATTTATGTATCTCACCCTGTAGATGTACTTTTCCTGATTAAACAATATAAAAATAAATTAAGATTGGCATATGATACCAGTTCAAATATTTAAAAGAGATTAAACTAATAAAGTGTAATAAAGTTATCATATCGGAATTTGCGAATGCTTTTTCTTTGGATACCAAATGCCTGGGAAAGATTGAGAATATCGATCATCTTTCACACATCTGCTTTAGTTAACTATGTTTTAAACCTGTGAAAATATTATAAAGATTATTATAAATTCAAATTATTCATTTCTTTTAAGTAAATTCATTATGACATGACTACTCTGTAATTAATTTAAAAAAATATTTAACTAATATAGATATAAAGGAATAATATGTTTTTCCACTTTTATTTGAAATAAATTATTTTGATAGTTCCAGTTAATTCTGTTAAATTTTTTATTAATAAATGACTTTAAAGTTGTAATACACACACATACATATATATATATATATACGATCAGATAAAGAACAGATAGGAAATATATACTATAATCCTGTCAAATTTCAATCTATATTTGATTTGCATTGGTCCTTTAATTCATATATATATATATATATGTATATATATATATATATATTAAAATATATACTTTTGGATTACACTATATTTATGGGTAAATGTATCAGGTATAGAATGTTTCTATATATAAGAGTCACTCAGTGTCAACACCCATGTCACTCATATGTATATATATATATATATATATATATATATATATATATATATATATATATATATATATATATATATATAGTAAGATTAATAAATCTGTTCATATATAATCCAAGTGGATCCTAGTAATTTAAACAATAAAACTGATCCACAAAAAGAGCTCAATGTATCTATTATTACAGAGAAAATAGATAGTAGTACACAATAAAATACAAAATTGCCTCATATGGGGAATAAACCTTTTTCAACTGATGAAAAATTAGTCAGTCTTATTCAACCCTGGTATATAGACTGAGTCTGTGTTGGAATTATAAAATTAACTGCATCAGCTGTTGACCAATTAATACATAATTTACCCATTTCAATTTTTCAGTCAGACAAAAGGCATGAGACAGTGGTCAGGGGAGGGTGGAAGGTATAAACCTTAAAGAGAAGAGGTTTTATAAAATTAAACCCAGATATTAGGTGGTTGGAATATATATATATATATATATATATATATACTTAATGTTTAATATTAATGTTAATTGCATCTTAAAATAAATACTTTTATGTAACTTCTGAAATATATTACTTTCTGAATAGATCGTTTATCATCCAAATTATGATGATTGTTTCTACTAATCAATTAACCATGTCAGAAATTTCCTCACAGTTGAGTCTTGGAACAGCAAAGAGAGAAATTTTCATAATTCACTGGTTTAGTCTGTGAATGGCAGATTATCTTTAATTTAAAAGAAGAAAAAATGTTCTTGTATGTTGTGGTTAACATCAGAAACTAATGATTGGTTAATTAATATCATGTTTGTACTAATTCTGTTTAAAATCTGATCCTTACTTCATTATTTCAAATACTTGTAAAATCCACCAAATAGATATAAATCAAGTGGAACGTAAGAGTGCCAATAAAAAATCACATATTTTCATAAAATCTAAAGCCCCATAAAGTAAAATAAAAAAAAACATTTAAGTCGAGGCAAGTAAAGCCAAATTTATCTTTTCTTTCTTTTCTATTTTCTGGATTCATATCAACCAAATCAAGAAAAGAGTGTAACTGGTTTGTGTTTTGAAATCTAGGTCTCAGCTTGATTTTATTTTTTGTTTGCTGTCAACATTTCAACTATCCTCTTATTTTTATTTTTCTCCATTAGAAACTGCAGTTAAATTAAAGAAACCTTTTACAAGTAACAAGCCAATGTTTATTTATAAAATTAGGAACTTTTTCCTTTCATCTAGAATTAAGAAATATTATGAAAATATTAATCAATACATTTGATTAGAAAGATATTTATAGACGAATTGTTCTTCTGTTGTAGTTTTCATCAACAAAGGATTTCTTTATTTGTAAAATTACTAATTGATCCAGATTACTAATTGATCCAGATTTAGATTTAAGAAGATCTACAGATTTATTTTTATAAATTTATTATACAGATAACATGACCACATTTTTAAATTGATTGTCAGAATTTAGTATTTTTTGTAGATATTGCAAGTTTTGAAAAATAGTTATAAAAAGTTTTGAAAATGATGAGTAACAATGAGACAAAATTTATGTCTGTAAAACTGATTAACAATAAATTTTCTGAAAGTCTGATAAGTAACTAAGTCTATTTATTATTCAAGGCAAATAACTTTTTTCTTTTTATAATAAATATTTTTTCTTTTTCTGTTGGTTTATTCAAATTTGATGAATTCTTCATTGAATTTCCAAACTATTTGTTTCTGCTAGAAAATTGCTTCTGTATAAAATGTTCATGATTAACTTTCAAATATCAGTATGTTCTTACATAAGCCATAGAAATTTATGTATAAAACTAAAATTTATGTGAAACCAATTCATATTTTTATGAAGAAAACTATAAAACAATATACAAAACATTAGTTGAAATTTCATGATATAACAAGAAAATTTGATATTCTTTTTTTTCTATCAAAGACTTTATCTGGGTATTCTTTGTTTACATTAAATTCAATTTGATTTCCCCATATTTGATTTTATTATGTAACTTCAGCTTTTTTTAGTTTAATAACATTTTAAAAACTAAAAAACGTTTATAAGGGTTTACTTTTAATAACAACATTTATGATAATGCTTACATAGAAATTACTTTGGTGTGTTGCTGGGAAATAAATGAAACTGTATAGTCAAAAAAAGAATAAATTCTCTTGTGAAATACAATTGGGTCATAAATGTCTTCAACACATTTTTTTGCTGACTGTATTCTGCCTGTGTTTTTAGCTTTTGTTTCTTCAAAGAAAACAAAATATAAGCAAAGTAGATTTTAGTAAACACATATTTTTATTAGACAGGATTGATAAAACATTCAGAAAGATTTAAATCATCTGTGTTTCATGAAATCAATTTCAGATCAGCCATTTGTAATCTTTCATCTTATATTTCTGCTTTATTGTTTTTTTTTTTATTTTATTGATTGTATATTTATATATATTTTAGTTCACATGTTCATAAATTTGAAATTACAATGAACCAATTAAACATGTTTTATAAGATTATTATTTTGTTCTTTTGATCTTACAGATATCAAATTGTAATTTCTTTAAATGCATTGCATTTTTCAAAGTAAATTTCAAAGTTATGATTTTCTTGTTTCATGTTTATAAGAAACAAAATACAATTATGTGATTCAGAAAAACTGATAAGTTTCAAATTTTGTAGAATTATTTTTAGAATCTAGCAAACTGATTTGAAAACAAATATATATGTTCTTAAATTTATATAAGTTCAATTAATTATTTTTATTTAATTAACTAAAATTAATAAATCTAAATTGTTGATAAACTGAAATTTACAAGTTATAAAAGATTATACAATTTATTGTAGTTAAGTGGAAATTACAAATTTTAGAAATCATTATGAAATGTGTAAATTTCCAAACCATAAATATTTTCAAGTATCATTTCAAATAACATTTACCTGTAATTGTTGTTATGTTCTTATCCTTTCATTTCTGATAGATTCATCATCTAATGACTATTTAACCATTTCAGGTATGACAGGACACATTCTGGACAAAACTCCACCAGCTCTACCAATACTAAGTGAGTTTATTTGTTTGACAGACATTGTTCTTTTGCATCCCAATTAGTATTACCATCAAAAGTGCATGTTATCAAGAAAACAGCTCTTGTCAAAAGTTGGTATTAACTGTAGCATGAATGAATGGATCTGTTTGCCTGTTTTCTTGCCACTTGTTATGTTAGTCTTGCTTTCTACTAACTCTTAACTTGCCATTGTTTCTAATACAAGTTTGTGTAAATTATGGACACTGGAAATTATGTGCTTTCAACAAAATCCATTTGTTCATTATTAGAGCTGGTAATCAGTTCAAAAATAAAAATGAATTATTTTTCATAATAATTACAAGCCTAATTATTTCTGCATAATCTTATTAAAACCATTTTTATATTTTTTTTCTTTTAATAATAGAGAATTCATCATAGACAGTGTCAATGAGAAAACAATATCTAAGAAAACTTCACTTTAGGCATTTTGAATTTTCTCTAGTTCTGTAAATAGTCTATACAACTGAATTTAATGAAAATATATAAATTGTTTTTGTTAAATGTTAAACTTATTTCTAGCATAGTTGAAAATTTTTATCATTATCAATTTTGATAATGCTTCTGATATTTGAATAATTTTCTAATAGATAATTCTTCAATATATTTACAACGCTATATTGGGTAGTATATTCAACAAGTAATTTTTTTCCAATAATTATTTTCATTGGCTAATTTAATAACATTTTTTTTTAAATTTAAAGAACTTCATTCCTTAAAGGAATGTATTAATTATGTGTGACATTCATCAATAATAATAATCTTATGAAAACACTGTCATTAGAAGCAGGTGCCATTTTATATGAACACTAAGAGTGTCACCATTTCTTCTATATAATTATTCCAAACAGAAAATTTCATAATGTTAAAGAATAGAAATAATTTTGTGGAAAACTTCTGTTGGTTTGATTTATTGGATAAGTTTGAAAACAAAACAGTTTATTCTTTTTTTATGCAGATTGTTCATCAAATACATTTTCAGGCATAAATTTTAAGCAGCATCCCATAAATTTTCTTCATTTGCAAAATGAATAAATAAACAGCTTAAATGTCAATATCTTTAAAATAGTATGTACTCTCATATAGGTTTTTCATATTTATATTCATTTATTTTCATTTTTAGGGAAAATAGTCATATAAATTATAACCCTACATTTCAAGCAAAATTATACATGCAAATTTAATAACAATATAATTTTATATTTTGTCCAACATTATAGAATAAAGTTAATGACTATGAAATAGAACTAAAAGTAAGTACTGAAGGCATTATCGATTGTCATTATTAATATGGTTTTATGCTAAGTAAATTCAGTAAAGAAACATTTTTTAAATATTAACCTAAATGTCTGTGTCTGTTGTAAAGTTCTTTTCTTTCTTTTATTCATTATTAATGAAAGACAAATTTGTAAACAGTTTTTAAAGAAATGGTATATTGCTTAACATTGTTTTTTGTCTAAGACATTCAAAAATGTAAGACTACTAAAGTGTTGGCAATTTTAGAAGGCCATAAATTGACTAGAAGGAAAATTTATTGCATTTTCATAGACAGCAATGGACAGAATATATTGAAAAATATGCTGGCTATAATGACTTTTGGACAAGGAAAAAATAACTGTGATACTTCAATGAGCTTAGTAAGAATCAATTGTCATGAAAATTGATTTTATCAGGAAAATGTTAGATTTATTATTTGTAGATACATAATAAATAAACCTGTGCAAATAAGGAATTGATTTTATCAGTAATTTTATTTTGTCTTCACATTGCCAAGAAGGTACAAAAGAATTGATGCCAGTTTTAACCCAAGATGAAAACTCTGTGGCATAATTTTCAATATGAATATTAAGAATATCAATTCAAGAGGTGTCTCAAAGTAAGTTACAAAATGAATCTCAACCAGTACCTTGGTAACAAAAAGAAGTTTTGTGAATAGGAGGTTCATTTCTAAGAAATAATTCAAAGAAATATCAAGACATGACAGCATCATACAAATTGCCAAGAGATCAGGGTTGTGATGCTTAAGAAGTGCTAGGAGGCAAGGTAAGGAACAAATCAAAGAAGAATGTTGATCAGATTTATAAGGGAAACAAAGAAATCCACTATTTGACTGAAAGATTGACTAACAGAAAATTGAAAGTATGAATACAGGCAATATCAGTAATATTAAACTGATTAACTCATTTGACATGATCAGCATTAAAATCACAAAACAAATAATGTTCAAAAATGAATGTAGAGAGAGAGAACTATTTCTATATTGTTAGAAATTTTGTCTAATATGTTACAGTCCTGAGAAGAAGGAGAACAATATAAGAAAAAGAGATAGCTAACAGAGTGTAATAATGAAAGTTGAAAGCATATGAAAGAATCATCTGGGGACTCAAAATACTATTTTCTTGCAACTGGAAGATTTTCCCAGATGTAAACATCAAGGCCAGGCTTATATATCTTAGAATCTATCCAACAAAAAGGAAGATAGCCTGGAACAGAGAATTCCTTTGTAGAGATAGAAGGATTTAAATTAGTTTCAAAGTCAATCATTTATTTAATATGTGTAGATGTGCGCAAATAAATGGTTTATACAATTTTTTTTTTATTCATCTTGGTGGTTTGTATGTGATTTAGATTATTATGGAAGAGATTTAAATTTTCATTTGCCTTGTAGCAGGCCAAACACTCACACATACACACAGACATACATGCATACACGTTCTTTGTTGATAAATAATATAAAATATTATAAAATTAAAATCAGACTTAACAAAATTCTCATATGTATGTGCAGAGACTTTGAAAAATAAAAGTATAAGAAAATGGAAATATTCTTCTTTTTTCTCAGAATCTGGCACAAGACCATATTTAATAGAACTCTCATTAAAGCTCACTCATTATTAATTATTCAAACAGTTATACAAAGTCTATTCTTTGTGCTATTATTGTCTTATGTTTGTTTAGTCACTTTTATAGATGGAGATGTCTTATTTCAAATGCTTTTCTTAGCAATGGCTATAAAATATTTAGAGTTTATTTTGTCTAATTGTATTTTGTACAAAGAAAATATTTGGTAGAATAAAGCAGTTAGTTTTCTATTTGAATTATTCAAAAAATCATTCTTAATTCATGCAATAACTTACTTTCCAATTCAACTATGATTACAGGAATTTTCATTTTTAACTCCTAATTTAAAACATATTGTCTTTGCATTTTATTAGATTTTAAAGATTTTTTTTTTCCAAATTTAAAAATTTTTTTCAATTTTAATAATTTTTTTCATGAAGTATAATTATTATATCGATAACAACTGTAAATATATCCAAATCCATTTAATATTTCTTTTTTTGGATCTTTCTTACTTCAGGTAATTTCCTTCTATTTTGTTTGCCTTAAATTTTCTCTATCTGGACATTTTCTTCCCAGATTTACAAACTCACACTTGCATGCCTTCAAGCATTCAAATTTCTGGTATCATCAGTATTTATAGTCATAGTGAAATATTCCTGTCCTGCACTATTTCAAATTATGATTTTTTTGAAATGGTAAGAAACAGTAATCATGTCTTTCTCCTTCAGCTTTGTCATATATTTGATTTTTGCAAGAAAACATTAAAAAAAGCTTTCATTTATTAAAAGATGCTAAAAAATATTAATAAAGTTTATAACATTAACAAGAACATTCTTTTATTCTTACTACGTTTTTCTACTTGTCTTTATCAAATAAAAGTGCTCCCAGCATAAAATAGCATTTAATTGGAAAGAAAGATTAACTTTCTATATCTAGAATAATAAATATAATGGAAAAACTTTATTAAATTGTTTTATTGAATTTAGTACAAGCTTATGAAATATATCCTTTCTTATTCTATAATTTTTTGAGTAAGTCAGATTTTTTGTTGACAGATTCAAATGATGTGGCAAGTAATATAATCCTCTGCACAAATTAATACTAATTTTTTAAATATAATTTCACTTCTTTACAAAGTCTTGAGTAAGAAGCAAGATGTTATTTAGCATTTGTTCACATAAAATTCTTCCTTCATCTTAAAGCGAATGTAACCTACATCTAGTTATCAAGAAATTTAAGTGATTTTTGTTTTAAGTGGAAAAGTTGTAAATAATATTATAAAAAAAATTAATATGGATTTGTATATCAAAATGTGTTTTCCTGAAAGTATAAAATACTATTGTTCACCCAATACAAGGCCAATGAGCCACTAAATGTAGAAGGTTACTGAATGAGGTTGTTTTATGAATGTAAGAGGAGGAGGAGGCAAGAATGTTAGACTATGAGAATATGTAGGATAGATAATGATTGACCCAGAACTTGAAGATGTTAAGATTGTAATGGTTGAAGAAGCATTCTCTCAGGAGGCTGTTCCATAAAGTAGTGGCTCTTAGGAAGAAGCTATTTGAATAGAACTTCCATATTACCAATGTAATACAAAGGAAATGAACTGGGTTGGCCCCTGTGTATATGGTACAGTGGCTTTTAGCTGTAAAAGTCTGAACTGGTGGAACTAAGGGTTGTAACTCATCAGAGCAATTTTTCATGGAAATAGTGATAAAATAGTGATAGTCATGCAACGCTAAAACTATGGGAAAGTATTGTAGGAATGAAAATAATTAATCACCTACAACACAGGGTAAATGCTTTTGAACTTTATCAAGGCCCAAAAGAGAGAAGGTTGAACAGCTCCAACACAGATGTTGCAGCAATACATTGTTTGGTCTGCTCTGTCTCATACAAAAATAAGGCATAGTGGGTGAATCAGGTACTTTCTGGAGAAGTACAAAGGCCTAAACATTTTCCAGCATCTTTCACTACTTGAGTCCCAATAGAAATACAAGGCAAGGAGCTTCAGTGAGAGTGCAACCATTAATTGGGACTGGTGAAAATTCAAAATCATCTTGGTAAAAAGTTAATGACTTGGTTTTTGAGGCATTAAAAGCCAGTTTTTCCCACCATTGAGCTGTTAGAGC